CTGGTAGAACTTTGTCATCACCCTGCAAATGAAATGAGTTCATGTTTAATGGGAAAATTAAACAGTGCATATTATCTAGATATAGGAGAAATTCACCCACCTGCTTATAAAGGGCACAGCCAGCAAAATTTATTTATTTATTTAGACAACCTTTATATAATACTGTGTCAATAAAAATATATTAAAGTGTTTTCTACAGCTGCTGCAAACTTCATCGATGTCTTCATCAAACTACTGGGACCACAACATCTTATTGATGATTTCTTACAACCAGTTGAGACCTCATGACAGTAGAAGTGAAGTTAATTTTTTTGCTCATCACTTTGCACTTGCTTACAGTCAGTTGCATTTCCCATTTTCCTGCCCATGCATTCAGTTTATCGTTTTGTTGCTGTTTGCAACCCATGTTTGTTTTCTCCACCCTGGACATTTTGGTATCATCAGCAAAGTTAAGTACCTCACTGCTTGCCCATTTGTTCTTCATATGTTTTTATGCCATCCCTTTTCTCTTGCTCTTACTCTCTTTTCTCTCTGCCTTTATAGACTTAGACAAAAAAGCTTAATGTTCATTGCCAGTAAGCTTTTGTGCATAGCCTATGTGCATGGATATTTCTAATAAAATTGTGTGTGTGTGTGTGTAGAAAATCCTTCCATTCTTTTTCTTAAAAAAATTCTAAAGCTTTTTCTCCAAACCAATCAAAAGTTTTTTTCCAGTCAGCCATGACATATAAAGAATAAATAAAATAATATTAAGTACCATATAAGTACCACTTACTTACAGTGGGGTATTAATGAAGACCTGGGAAGGGTGTTCATTGAAAGAAACTCTGGGTAATATGTAATACATATAAGATACCGTTGCACCAATGACAAGGTCACCAGGTTCATACCACTCATTTGGAACATGAACAGGATTATTTGTGGTGCATTTGACACTTTGTACTTGGGACCCCATGTTGGTGAGAAGCAGAAGTAGAAGCAACATCCTGATGACAAATGTCCTTCTCTGCATAGACACTCCTGTTTCTCTTTACAATATTATTGCTGTCCTCCACTTGATTTGAACAAGAGAGATTGGGTGGTCGTTGACTGTTAATTTGGTATTTTAAGGGACATGTATCCACCTTATTGTCAACTTAAAGACTATCACAGCAGAATGCCTCAGATGCCAAATAAGATGCAGTAATTTGATATGAAAGAGGGAAATTCATAACTGAGAGATAACAAAGCCCACCCTCTCTCCTCCTTTACCATAGCTGCCTATGAAGCACTGGGGAGCTTACAATCATTTCAAACTACCTTGTTGATTCTTTTTTTCCAGTTTGATATCCAAAGCTTCAGCCAGGTGAATTGATTACTGTAATTCTAATAATGATAGGGTAGAGAATCATATGTTCAATGTTTTTGGAGTCTATAGCACATCAGCAGTAGGGAAAATGCCAATGTTTTCATATTTCTTACAGTGTAGAAAGAGCCTCCCTGGGTGAAAAACTGGGACAAGAAGATGCACAGGAATGACAAAATTGCAAGCAAAAGAAACTTTAGATTTGGGGTAATGGGAATCTAAATAGAGTTCTATTGTGCTTCTGATTGGCTAAGAAATTGAGAGAAACAATGTATGCAAGTAAAGCTGTCAGTCAGGGATTTTCAGAGAGTTTGTGTTTGTCTTGGGAAACTGATGAAGAACAAAATGAAATTAGAATAGGAGACTCCAAGAACAGAAGAAGATGAAGTCTGTGAGGGCTGGAAGTTCTTGCTGACCTTGGTCTATTTGGATCAGCAATTCCTCCATTCTTAAGCATTGTCTTCAGTAGTGAACACTTCTAGATACTATTTAGCAGGAAGCATTCTGCTGTTTTCATTCGGTTTTATGTTTACTTGTTCAAACTGTGGTTATTTACCATATGCCTTGGTGTGCTACCACCCAAAAAATTGCATACACTGGAAGTGCATATATATATATATATAACTTTTTTATTGAAATTTTTTGATATAGAATATAATAAGAATCAACCTAGTCTACAGAACAAGACTAATAAAAAGAAAAACCTAAAAAATAAGGAGAGAAAGAGACAGAAGAGAGACCCTTTATCATATTTACATCATATAAATCCAGTAATTTAGTCACACAGAGAGAAGTAGACCCTACCATCTCCCACCTTTGACCCTACTTCCTGTGCAGCTGCTAAAAAGAGTTTCAAGGGAAATATGGTCATTATTCCAACAGCAAAATAAATGAGAGAGGGTTCCATGCTATTGTATCCACATATGGGTAGAGCAAATTTCCAAAAGCAGGAAGGGAAGGAGCATAGCTTAGTAACATTTTCTTTTTATTGAACTGAGCCCAGTTCATACCATTGGCAGCCACTTGCTAGACGGCTTTTCTTTGTCAGTCTTTGGAGTCTTTTGTCCTCTGTTACATGCAAAACCATGTATCCATACTGGTAACTAGTGTTCCAGAGATCGTTCACAAAAGGTTATTGAGCTGGCATGGACATGGAGTGAAGGTGGAAACAGGGGTGAAAAGCAATCCAGTTCAGGGCCTACTTGATGAAGACCTTTGACATGATCTTGGATCCATCGTGAAGCAGATCAAGAACTGGCCTAATGTCTAATACAGTGGTACCTCGGGTTAAGTACTTAATTCGTTCGGGAGGTCCGTTCTTAACCTGAAACTGTTCTTAACCTGAAGCACCACTTTAGCTAATGGGGCCTCCTGCTGCTGCTGCGCCGCCGGACCACGATTTCTGTTCTCACCCTGAAGCAAAGTTCTTAACCTGAAGCACTATTTCTGGGTTAGCAGAGTCTGTAACCTGAAGCGTATGTAACCTGAAGCATATGTAACCTGAGGTACCACTGTAATGTCAAAAGCTCCAATTAAACATATGTCTGGGAGCAGAGTGGGAGGATATGAAGTTGCAACTTCTCCAAACTCAGGATTGGGTGGGGGCGGCGGCGGGGGGGTATAATTCCAAAACTTTCTCTTTTGCAAATAATTTATTTGTGGGGAAGCTGCTTATGGTTGAGCATTCTACAGGTTCTCTGTCCCCAAGCAACTATTTGGTGAAGGAAAGGATGCCGTTGGGTGGGACATCAGATAGGAAGGAGAATCAGTCAGTGAATCTCCTACATTATCCCGGGAAGACACACCGAGAACATAGTTGGGTCTAGATTATTTCACAGGTAACCCAGCCTAATATCTGAGTTTAGTTCCTTCCTGATGCACCACTGCCGGACAACCCCAGAAAATTTTGAGGCAGCCACAGTCCCATTAGATAGACAAATGGTCTGACTCAGAATTAGGCAGTTTCCAGTATTCCTGTGGTTTTCTTCCTCTCTTCCCTTGGCAGCTTCCTATGGTTTCCCCAAATTTGTTCAGGAAAGGCACAGAGACTCTTGAGCAGAAATGTGGGGCACCCACATGAATGCAGGAGAAGAGTAGGAAGACAAAGTCAATATTCTGGTAAGGTCTTGGTGGGGAAACGGCAGGGAAAGTGATACCTGCCAGCAAGGCCAGGTAACCTAAGAACCAACAGAGCTACAAATTCCTCTGTCATTTAAACCTTCCTTTGTGTTAGCTGCTCTCTGTTGTTCAGGTCTGGCCTCACCACAATAATGTAGCATTTAGGGGCAAAAATACAAGCCAGTAACCCAGCACCAGAAGCAAAGATGGAGAAGATCTCCACAGCCACCATGTATTTTCCTCTGGTGCTCAGGTAGGTTGGAATGAAGGAGAGCCAAACACTGCAGAAGACCAGCATGCTGAAGGTGATGAACTTGGCTTCGTTGAAAGTGTCAGGCAACTTCCTGGCTAGGAAGGCCACCGTGAAGCTGATAGTGGCCAGGAAGCCCATGTAACCCAAAACACAATAGAACATGGAGACTGACCCTTCATTACATAGAAATATGATTTCTTCAGTCATTGAGTGCATGTCCACATCTGGGAATGGGGGAGAGGTTGCCAGCCAGAGAACACAGATCCCTACTTGAACAATGGAGCAGGAAAAGACAATGGAATAAGCCAGTTCTTTGCCTACCCATTTCCTCATATTGGATCCTGGTTTGGTAGCCATGAAAGCCAAAACCACCAATATGGTTTTGGCTAAGATGCTGGAGAGGGCCACAGAGAAGACAATGCCAAAAGCATTTTGCCGGAGAAAGCAAGTCATCTTATTAGGTTTTCCAATAAACAACAAAGAAGAGAGGAAACACAAGAGGAGGGAGATAAGGAGACCATAGGTGAGGCTTCGGTTGTTGGCTTTGACTATGGCTGTATTGCGATGCTTAATGAAGATGCCAAGCACCAGAATTGTGATCAGAGAGAATAAAAGTGCAGAGGATGTTGAAACAATGGCCAAGGTTTCATCAAAGGCTAGGAAGTTTGGAATCTTAGGAATGCATAGATCCTGGCTGCTCTTTGGAAATTGATCTGCTGGGCAACTGACACATGTTTCCATGTCTGAAAACAAAGAATGCATGACAATTTTAAGCATCCAATACTATTCTTAAGGATTTCCTCATTGAAATTTTAGGATAGTGTTTTCTATCTCAAAATGTTTAAGAACTTCTGTATGAAATCTGGAATTTTCTACATGGGTGACATCTTTTTTACTGGTTCCCTTCTCTTTTTGTTGTAACGACTTGTAGTGCATAGCAAAATTAAAAATACATTACTGCAGAAATCTTTGGAGCCCAGAAAGGCAAGATTTATGGGACTTTCAACCTTTTGTCAAACAACCTAAGTCTTTCAGGAGAGACCACCACTTCTATTCCACCCTAACTTTGTAGAAGTTGGAGGTAAAATAGATGACTTTCCATTTTAAAATATTTTTAATATGTTTTAAGGATGGAATTAAATTGATACTAACTATAAACAATGAGAACACCACATCTATTTAAGTTAAGCCTTCCCTCCTCCATTGGTTTAATGACAACAAGTTTGCCAAAGAGTTCAGAGCTTATTAAAATAAATTGGTATATCCTAAGATGACATCTCCCACCTTTCTCATTTGAGATCATTCCTTCTGGACATGGATCACAATCATAACAGCAAAACTTCCTTCCTTCCTTCTTTTTCTTCCCGTATCCAGGATGGCAGTTGTCATTACATATAGAAAGAGGTGGCACCTATTCAAAGATATAGGAAGAGTTTAATATGAAGACAAGGTTTGGGTGAATTATTTCTGTTACTTCTTGTAGGGTCATTTGAGAAACTAGTACTAGGAAACCACCCCATGGCTTTGGGGTTGTAGTGTCCCATTATGGTCCATTCTGTTTCCTGTGCTATTTATTATATCAATGAAACTGTTAGGAATAATATCCTAGAATCTGGCTCATGGTATCATCTGGATGCTGATGATGTGAAGTTCTACCTTTCCATTCCATTGGAACGAGAGGAGGTGGTGAAGGTGCTGGAGAAGTGTCTGAAGACAGTGATGGATGGGATGGGGGCTGAATCCCTATAGAAGAGAAATGCTTTGGATGGGTGGTTCCTACATTTGACCTCTGCAGCAAGAGCTTCTTAAGTCTGGGATACTCCTTGATTCTATCTCATCACTGGAGTCTTAATTATGGAATTTCATGGCCTGTGCAGTTATTTCTGTACCTCAGTGAAGTCTCTGTGCCATTTAATTCTGTTCTCATTAATGGTGAACTCTTTGCCGGAAGGGGCCTGAGGGTCCCACCTTCCCACTTTGACTCTGATGTAAGATCTATTTGGGAATGTGACCAAGTTTGTAATATCCAAGCCAGCTGCCAACTCTCCATATTCATTGAATTTAATTTCATCTCCAGCACTGTTGTTGAACGAGATTCTCTGCAGGAATGAGTGGAGCTAGGTGGAAAGAGAATCAAAAGGTCAATACAGCATTCTAATAGTCTGATTATGATTGTTGAAGAGCTTTCCTAGATGGTATTAAATCCCTTTCCTCTAAGAGTTAAACACTTCAGTTTACAATGGAGAGCATCCTTGTTTCAATTCCCCATATGGGAAGACTAGGAAAACATGAATCATTGTAAATTCAACAGTTGACAGAATTCTATAAATAAATGTGAAAGAGTTAAGTATATAGACCTGCTTGCTTGGGACCTGCCATTGTCAAGATCCAAGAAAGGGAAGGAATTTGAGAAGTCAAGTAAGAGCTCATGCTCTCATGTTCATGTTCTCAAACATCATGTTCCCTGAGCATAGGAATGGAATATGAGAACATCTGACTGGACCTTTCATTAGTTTCTGCTGTCAAGATGTTTGAGAAGGAGAAGGGTGTGACTGTGGTCTCACTGAATGCAAAGCTCTACAATTGTGCCCTGTGCAACAGGCGAAGCATTCTTCTGGCTATCTCTCAAACTCTTTGGTCCTTGTAGCATCTGAAGCATCATTCAGTGAGGGAGAGGAGGGGGAGAAGGAAGATGAAGAGCCACATTTGTCCCTCGCCAGTAAGTATAGCAATTCTTAAGATTTTTTTTTTTTAAAAAAAAAATGGTTTTCTAGAGGTTATTCTGGCTTTAAATGATTTTGCTTGTATGTGCAACTGCCCCCTGTAAAATGTGAGTTATCTGTAAGTTTGTTGCTTATGAAAGTCTGTGCCATCTAAAATCTGTTTACTATCATTATAGGAAATATTCTAATTCTCTTTCTAATTTCTCAAGTCCTTCTCTGTTATTTCTTTACTGATAATTAAATGCTTACTCACATAATGGATCAATGAAGTGAATGCTTTGTAAGAGAGAATGTTACCTGCCAAGGTTCTACATATTGAGGAGAGAGTTTCCCCTTAGCATCTCTACACTTGTGGATCGCTCCAGCCAATTGCTTGCTATTTAAGGCATGTGCCAAAGCATAGACAGCGTTATAGATACTGTAGCTTTGCCCGGTCATGCTCATTTCAAAATATGGTGCAGGGAGGCTCTCCAGCATTTCTTCTCCAGTACACATGTGATCGTTGAATGTTGAGAGAGTGGAATTTGGAAGTGAACAACTGAATGCATCTTCCCAGAAATCTTGGATGAAACCATCTGCGTCTGTCCAATAAGGATGTATATTCCGAAGAAAGTCTTGAAAGTTGTGGATCTCCTTGGAGTGAATTGCAAAGGAGATAGCACCATGGAACATTCGTATATTAACATAAATTTTTTTTTGAAGGCTGTGTAATATGAAATCAAGTTGGCTTGTCGTAATCCATACTTTTCCTTCACGTGACTTCATATGAGGAAATAGGAGCTGAGTTAACTCCATCACGATTAAAGCATTTGCCAACCATAGAATAAATCTACTTTCTCCGAATACAAGAACTGCATTGGCTTTGCTGGTTGTGAAAGTTGGTAACAATATCCTTGAATCAGCCAGCGCTTCTAGAAAGTCACCATTATAATGCAGATTGAGTTCAACTCTTTCTGTGAAAGCTGAACAGATTCTATTCTTGAAAAACATGGGTTCAATTGTCTGTAAGAAATGTTCACCAGCTTCATCAGCTGTAGTCACAAGCCCAACCCATTTCCACCTGAAATGCAGAAGTAGCTGGATAATTCCCTGATACTGAAGGTCTTCATTGGGGACCATGCGATAAAAGGAAGGGAACTTGGTTCCATAATTTATGGCTGGTTCAAATAAACCGTATGAAATCTGGAACAAGCAAAAGCCAAATGTTTCTAAGTGGAAACAAGAACTCATGAGATTCCAATTTATTCAAATATAAACACACACACACACACACACACACTATGTTGAAAATATATCCTAAATGTACCAAGTTTAGGGACAGCACCAACCCCGGCTTATATAGGAAAACACTGATACTCTTGCTCAGTGGCAGGGCTGTCTTAAGAATATGTGGTGCCGGCATGCAAAGATCCACCAGGCGCCTCTTCCCCAGGTTGCCCAGTCCCAGGTGCACAGGAGGTCGGAGCTGGCTGGCCATCTCAGTGTCTCGCTGGCTCGGTCGCCCCCAAACCTGCTGCCTGGCGCCCCTAAGAGCCCTGCGCCTGGATGCCCAGCACCCCTAGCGCCTATGGGTAAGTCGGCCCTGCTCAATGGTTTCTGTAATTATTATTTTTTTCATTATGGCATCATCGCAGCTTTATACTTGTGCACACTGATTGTATCCAAGAATAGGGGAGCATTTATCATCACTCATGTTAATATACTAAGTGCATGATTGAATAAAACTCCAAAGGGAAGGTGGATCATGTACTTTTGCTCTGTAACCTTTATAGCGGTTGAAGAGGGAAGTTGATTCTTTGTCTACTTAGAACTCTCTTGGGAAGGTTTCCTGGGAATCACGAAGAGCTCTGAAAGATTAAATATGTTATTGTTCTCTGACTACAATAAACCACATCATATAAAATATCAGTAAAATGAAAATTAACGTACCAGCAGTAATTTAAAAAAATGAAATCCAACAATGAAGTAGAACAGCACAATGCTGACACCACTATGTATATAACGCTCTGAAATCACAGGTGACAAATTCCAGAATAATAGCAAGAAAACAGTGTTTTCACTTAGCCTCTGAAAGTGAACTTTGGGAAAGGACTATCTTGATTTTTAAGGGGAGGAACATTTTTAGTTAATGTGTCCTGAGTTATTCATACCTTTGAAGTCATCTGTCAATTTCATAAATTGAGTAGCTCACAGGAAGCCAGTGCAGTGCTTTCAGGATTGATATACATGAACCAGTCTAGGCTTCTCATTTACAAACCTGGCAGCTTTGCAGCAATCTTCTATTACATCTATTAAACACAAATTGCCCTTCTTACACACATTGTTGGATATGCATATTATGCCCCTTTTACGTTGTCTATTTCCCCAATCCATATTTATGAATCAGTAGATTCCTAATGCAAGGAAAGCATGAAATCTGTTTTTCAAAACCCATATTGTACCTGTGGAATCTTGAAAAGACCTAAGACGTTTGCCATGCACCAGGAGGTATCAGAGCTGAGTCCCCCAATGACTCCTATGACATTTTTCTGGATCCCACACCTGTAGTTGGGAACAAAGTGATGTGATTTAAAGAGCAGGTCAAGAGTTGTTTGGTAGGCCATCTTTGAATCATAATAGTTATCATAGATGTGGAATCCCAGAGAGACATTGGGCAACATCCTGGGATTCTTGTTGATCTCATCAACACCAAAGACCAAAGCAAGGATGTGCTGGTAGAACTTTGTCATCACCCTGCAAATGAAGTCAGTTAATATTTAATGGGAAAATTAAAGAGTGCATATTATCTAGATATAGGAGAGATTCACCCACCTGCCTATAAAAAAGGGCACAGCCAGCAAAATTTATTTATTTATTTATTTAGACAACCTTTATATAATACTGTGTCAATAAAAATACATTAAAGTGTTTTCTATAGCTGCTGCAAACTTCATTGACGTCTGCATCAAACTATCTGCTAGGACCACAACATCTTATTGATGATTTCTTACAACCAGTTGAGGCTCCATGACTGTGAAATTAATTTTTTTGCTCATCACTTTGCACTTGCTTACAGTCAATTGCATTTCCCATTTTCCTGCCCATGCATTCAGTTTATCATTTTGTTGCTGTTTGCAACCCATGTTTGTTTTCTCCACCCTGGATATTTTGGTATCATCAGCAAAGTTAAGTACCCCACTGCTTGCCCATTTGTTCTTATGTTTTTATGCCATCCCTTTTCTCTTGCTCTTACTCTCTTTTCTCTCTGCCTTTATAGAATTGGATAAAAAAAGCTCAGCGTTCATTGATAGTATATGTGTAGCCTATGTGCATTGAGATTTCTAATAAAATGTGTGTGTGTTTGGAAAATCTTTCCATTTTTAAAAAAAAGTTCTGAAGCTTTTTTTTCCAAACAAAAGTTTTTTTTTCAGACAGACATGGCATATAAAGAATAAATAAAATCATATTAAGTACCAGTTACTTACAGTGGGGTATCAGTGAAGACCTGGGAAGGGTGTTCATTGAAAGAAATTTCGGGTAATATGTAATACATATAAGATACTGTTGCACCAATGACAAGGTCCGCTGGCTCATACCACTCGTGTGGAACATGAACAGAATTATCTGTTGTGCATTTAACACTTTGTACTTGGGACCCCATGTTGGGAAGAACCAGAAGCAAAAGAAACATTCTGATGACAAATGTCCTTCTCTGCATAGACACTCCTGTTTCTCTCTACAATATTATTGCTGTCCTCTACCTGATTTGAACAAGAGAGATTGGGTGGTCGTTGACTCTGTCAATTTGGTACTTTAAGGGACACGTATCCACCTTATTGTCAACTTAAAGACTATCACAGCAGAATGCCTCAGATGCCAAATAGGATGCAGTAATTTGATATGAAAGAGGGAAATTCATAACTGAGAGATAACAAAGCCCACCCTCTCTCCTCCTTTACCATAGCTGCCTATGAAGCACTGGGGAGCTTACAATCATTTCAAACTACCTTGTTGATTCTTTTTTTCCAGTTTGACATCCAAAGCTTCAGCCAGGTGAATTGATTACTGTAATTCTAATAATGATAGGGTAGAGAATCATATGTTCAATGTTTTTGGAGTCTATAGCACATCAGCAGTAGGGAAAATGCCAATGTTTTCATATTTCTTACAGTGTAGAAAGAGCCTCCCTGGGTGAAAAACTGGGACAAGAAGATGCACAGGAATGACAAAATTGCAAGCAAAAGAAACTTTAGATTTGGGGTAATGGGAATCTAAATAGAGTTCTATTGTGCTTCTGATTGGCTAAGAAATTGATAGAAACAATGTATGCAAGTAAAGCTGTCAGTCAGGGATTTTCAGAGAGTTTGTGTTTGTCTTGGGAAACTGATGAAGAACAAAATGAAATTAGAATAGGAGACTCCAAGAACAGAAGAAGATGAAGTCTGTGAGGGCTGGAAGTTCTTGCTGACCTTGGTCTATTTGGATCAGCAATTCCTCCATTCTTAAGCATTGTCTTCAGTAGTGAACACTTCTAGATACTATTTAGCAGGAAGCATTCTGCTGTTTTCATTCGGTTTTATGTTTACTTGTTCAAACTGTGGTTATTTACCATATGCCTTGGTGTGCTACCACCCAAAAAATTGCATACACTGGAAGTGCATATATATATATATATAACTTTTTATTGAAATTTTTTGATATAGAATATAATAAGAATCAACCTAGTCTACAGAACAAGACTAATAAAAAGAAAAACCTAAAAAATAAGGAGAGAAAGAGACAGAAGAGAGACCCTTTATCATATTTACATCATATAAATCCAGTAATTTAGTCACATAGAGAGAAGTAGACCCTACCATCTCCCACCTTTGACCCTACTTCCTGTGCAGCTGCTAAAAAGAGTTTCAAGGGAAATATGGTCATTATTTCAACAGCAAAATCAATGAGAGAGGGTTCCATGCTATTGTATCCACATATGGGTAGAGCAAATTTCCAAAAGCAGGAAGGGAAGGAGCATAGCTTAGTAACATTTTCTTTTTATTGAAGTGAGCCCAGTTCATACCGTTGGCAGCCACTTGCTGAACTGCTTTTCTTTGTCAGTCTTTGGAGTCTTTTGTCCTCTGTTACATGCAAAACCATGTATCCATACGGGTAACTAGTGTTCCAGAGATTGTTCACAAAAGGTCATTGAGCTGGCATGGACATGGAGTGAAGGTGGAAACAGGGGTGGAAAGCAATCCAGTTCAGGGCCTACTTGATGAAGACCTTTGACATGATCTTGGATCCACCGTGAAGCAGATCAAGAACTGGCCTAATGTCTAATACAGTGGTACCTCTGGTTAAGAACTTAATTCATTCCGGAGGTCCGTTCTTAACCTGAAACTGTTCTTAACCTGAAGCACCACTTTAGCTAATGGGGCCTCCTGCTGCTGCTGCGCCGCCGGACCACGATTTCTGTTCTCACCCTGAAGCAAAGTTCTTAACCTGAAGCACTATTTCTGGGTTAGCAGAGTCTGTAACCTGAAGCGTCTGTAACCTGAAGCATATGTAACCTGAGGTACCACTGTAATGTCAAAAGCTCCAATTAAACATATGTCTGGGAGCAGAGTGGGAGGATATGAAGTTGCAACTTCTCCAAACTCAGGATTGGGTGGGGGCGGCGGCGGGGGGGTATAATTCCAAAACTTTCTCTTTTGCAAATAATTTATTTGTGGGGAAGCTGCTTATGGTTGAGCATTCTACAGGTTCTCTGTCCCCAAGCAACTATTTGGTGAAGGAAAGGATGCCGTTGGGTGGGACATCAGGTAGGAAGGAGAATCAGTCAGTGAATCTCCTACATTATCCCGGGAAGACACACCGAGAACACAGTTGGGTCTAGATTATTTCACAGGTAATCCAGCCTAATATCTGAGTTTAGTTCCTTCCTGATGCACCACTGCCGGACAACCCCAGAAAATTTTGAGGCAGCCACAGTCCCATTAGATAGACAAATGGTCTGACTCAGAATTAGGCAGTTTCCAGTATTCCTGTGGTTTTCTTCCTCTCTTCTCTTGGCAGCTTCCTATGGTTTCCCCAAATTTGTTCAGGAAAGGCACAGAGACTCTTGAGCAGAAATGTGGGGCACCCACATGAATGCAGGAGAAGAGTAGGAAGACAAAGTAAATATTCTGGTAAGGTCTTGGTGGGGAAACGGCAAGGAAAGTGATACCTGCCAGCAAGTCCCGGTAACCTAAGAACCAACAGAGCTACAAATTCCTCTGTCATTTAAACCTTCCTTTGTGTTAGCTGCTCTCTGTTGTTCAGGTCTGGCCTCACCACAATAATGTAGCATTTAGGGGCAAAAATACAAGCCAGTAACCCAGCACCAGAAGCAAAGATGGAGAAGATCTCCACAGCCACCATGTATTTTCCTCTGGTGCTCAGGTAGGTTGGAATGAAGGAGAGCCAAACACTGCAGAAGACCAGCATGCTGAAGGTGATGAACTTGGCTTCGTTGAAAGTGTCAGGCAACTTCCTGGCTAGGAAGGCCACCGTGAAGCTGATAGTGGCCAGGAAGCCCATGTAACCCAAAACACAATAGAACATGGAGACTGACCCTTCATTACATAGAAATATGATTTCTTCAGTCATTGAGTGCATGTCCACATCTGGGAATGGGGGAGAGGTTGCCAGCCAGAGAACACAGATCCCTACTTGAACAATGGAGCAGGAAAAGACAATGGAATAAGCCAGTTCTTTGCCTACCCATTTCCTCATATTGGATCCTGGTTTGGTAGCCATGAAAGCCAAAACCACCAATATGGTTTTGGCTAAGATGCTGGAGAGGGCCACTGAGAAGACAATGCCAAAAGCATTTTGCCGGAGAAAGCAAGTCATCTTATTAGGTTTTCCAATAAACAACAAAGAAGAGAGGAAACACAAGAGGAGGGAGATAAGGAGACCATAGGTGAGGCTTCGGTTGTTGGCTTTGACTATGGCTGTATTGCGATGCTTAATGAAGATGCCAAGCACCAGAATTGTGATCAGAGAGAATAAAAGTGCAGAGGATGTTGAAACAATGGCCAAGGTTTCATCAAAGGCTAGGAAGTTTGGAATCTTAGGAATGCATAGATCCTGGCTGCTCTTTGGAAATTGATCTGCTGGGCAACTGACACATGTTTCCATGTCTGAAAACAAACAAAGAATGCATGACAATTTTAAGCATCCAATACTATTCTTAAGGATTTCCTCATTGAAATTTTAGGATAGTGTTTTCTATCTCAAAATGTTTAAGAACTTCTGTATGAAATCTGGAATTTTCTACATGGGTGACATCTTTTTTACTGGTTCCCTTCTCTTTTTGTTGTAACGACTTGTAGTGCATAGCAAAATTAAAAATACATTACTGCAGAAATCTTTGGAGCCCAGAAAGGCAAGATTTATGGGACTTTCAACCTTTTGTCAAACAACCTAAGTCTTTCAGGAGAGACCACCACTTCTATTCCACCCTAACTTTGTAGAAGTTGGAGGTAAAATAGATGACTTTCCATTTTAAAATATTTTTAATATGTTTTAAGGATGGAATTAAATTGATACTAACTATAAACAATGAGAACACCACATCTATTTAAGTTAAGCCTTCCCTCCTCCATTGGTTTAATGACAACAAGTTTGCCAAAGAGTTCAGAGCTTATTAAAATAAATTGGTATATCCTAAGATGACATCTCCCACCTTTCTCATTTGAGATCATTCCTTCTGGACATGGATCACAATCATAACAGCAAAACTTCCTTCCTTCCTTCTTTTTCTTCCCGTATCCAGGATGGCAGTTGTCATTACATATAGAAAGAGGTGGCACCTATTCAAAGATATAGGAAGAGTTTAATATGAAGACAAGGTTTGGGTGAATTATTTCTGTTACTTCTTGTAGGGTCATTTGAGAAACTAGTACTAGGAAACCACCCCATGGCTTTGGGGTTGTAGTGTCCCATTATGGTCCATTCTGTTTCCTGTGCTATTTATTATATCAATGAAACTGTTAGGAATAATATCCTAGAATCTGGCTCATGGTATCATCTGGATGCTGATGATGTGAAGTTCTACCTTTCCATTCCATTGGAAAGAGAGGAGGTGGTGAAGGTGCTGGAGAAGTGTCTGAAGACAGTGATGGATGGGATGGGGGCTGAATCCCTATAGAAGAGAAATGCTTTGGATGGGTGGTTCCTACATTTGACCTCTGCAGCAAGAGCTTCTTAAGTCTGGGATACTCCTTGATTCTATCTCATCACTGGAGTCTTAATTATGGAATTTCATGGCCTGTGCAGTTATTTCTGTACCTCAGTGAAGTCTCTGTGCCATTTAATTCTGTTCTCATTAATGGTGAACTCTTTGCCGGAAGGGGCCTGAGGGTCCCACCTTCCCACTTTGACTCTGATGTAAGATCTATTTGGGAATGTGACCAAGTTTGTAATATCCAAGCCAGCTGCCAACTCTCCATATTCATTGAATTTAATTTCATCTCCAGCACTGTTGTTGAACGAGATTCTCTGCAGGAATGAGTGGAGCTAGGTGGAAAGAGAATCAAAAGGTCAATACAGCATTCTAATAGTCTGATTATGATTGTTGAAGAGCTTTCCTAGATGGTATTAAATCCCTTTCCTCTAAGAGTTAAACACTTCAGTTTACAATGGAGAGCATCCTTGTTTCAATTCCCCATATGGGAAGACTAGGAAAACATGAATCATTGTAAATTCAACAGTTGACAGAATTCTATAAATAAATGTGAAAGAGTTAAGTATATAGACCTGCTTGCTTGGGACCTGCCATTGTCAAGATCCAAGAAAGGGAAGGAATTTGAGAAGTCAAGTAAGAGCTCATGCTCTCATGTTCATGTTCTCAAACATCATGTTCCCTGAGCATAGGAATGGAATATGAGAACATCTGACTGGACCTTTCATTAGTTTCTGCTGTCAAGATGTATGAGAAGGAGAAGGGTGTGACTGTGGTCTCACTGAATGCAAAGCTCTACAATTGTGCCCTGTGCAACAGGCGAAGCATTCTTCTGGCTATCTCTCAAACTCTTTGGTCCTTGTAGCATCTGAAGCATCATTCAGTGAGGGAGAGGAGGGGGAGAAGGAAGATGAAGAGCCACATTTGTCCCTCGCCAGTAAGTACAGCAATTCTTAAGATGTTTTTTTCTTTTTTAAAAAAATGGTTTTCTAGAGGTTAGTCTGGCTTTAAATGATTTTGCTTGTATGTGCAACTGCCCCCTGTAAAATGTGAGCTATCTGTAAGTTTGTTGCTTATGAAAGTCTGTGCCATCTAAAATCTGTTTGCTATCATTATAGGAAATATTCTAATTCTCTTTCTAATTTCTCAAGTCCTTCTCTGTTATTTCTTTACTGATAATTAAATGCTTACTCACATAATGGATCAATGAAGTGAATGCTTTGTAAGAGAGAATGTTACCTGCCAAGGTTCTACATATTGAGGAGAGAGTTTCCCCTTAGCATCTCTACGCTTGTGGATCGCTCCAGCCAATTGCTTGCTATTTAAGGCATGTGCCAAAGCATAGACAGCGTTATAGATACTGTAGCTTTGCCCGGTCATGCTCATTTCAAAATATGGTGCGGGGAGGCTCTCCAGCATTTCTTCTCCAGTACACATGTGATCGTTGAATGTTGAGAGAGTGGAATTTGGAAGTGAACAACTGAATGCATCTTCCCAGAAATCTTGGATGAAACCATCTGCCTCTGTCAAATGAGGATGTATACTCCGAAGAAAGTCTTTAAAGTTGTGAATTTCCTTGGAGTGAATTGCAAAGGATATAGCACCATGGAGCACTTGTATGTTAACATTTAATTTTTTTTGAAGGCTATATAATATGAAATCAAGTTGGGCTGTTGTAATCCATACTTTTCCTTCACGTGACTTCTTTTGAGGAAATAGTAGCGGAGTGAACTCCATTATGTTTAAAGCACTTGACAACCATATATTAAATCTACTTTCTCCATATACAAGAACTGCACTGGCTTTGCTGGTTTTGAAAGTTGGTAATAAAATCCTTGAGTCATACAGCATTTTTAGTAAGTTACCATTATAATGCAGATTGAGTTCAACTCTTTCTGTGAATGCTGAACAGATTCTATTCTTGAAAAACATGGGTTCAATTGTCTGTAAGAAATGTTCACCAGCTTCATCAGCTGTAGTCATGAGCCCAACCCATTTCCATCCAAAATGCAGAAGTAACTGGATTATTCCCTGATACTGAAGGTCTTCATTGGGGACCATGCGGTAGGAAGAAGGGATCTTGGTTTGATCATTTATGCCTTGTTCAAATGAACCATATGAAATCTAGAGAAGCGAAAAGGCAACCATATCCAACGGCAAAAAAATACTCATGTTAATCACATTTCTTTGAATATCAATAGAAAACCTCTGAATCCCTACTGTACAAAGTTTGGGGACAGCACCAACCTCAATTTGCATAGATAACAAAGACAATCTTGCTCAATGTTTTCTGCATAAATTATTATTATTATTATTATTATTATTATTATTATTATTATGGCATCATCAGATCTTCATACTTGTACACATTGATAGTCTCCAAGAACAGGGTAGCATTTATCATGGCTCATGTTAATATACTGCTAGGTGGATGACTCAACAACAAAAAAAGGTGGAGGTGGAGCAATAGAAATTGTTGATCATGCTTTTTTGCTCTCTAACCTTTATAGCGATTGTAGAGAGAGGTTGATTCTCTATCTACTTATAAGTCTCTCGGGAAGATATCTTGGGGAATCCTGAAGATCTCCATTCGATTGTATATGTTATTCTTCTCTGAGCAGAATCAACCACATCATATAAAATATCAGTAAAATACAGAAATGCCATACCAAACACTTTCAGCCAAGGTTAAAACAACAAAGAATGAAATCCAACAATGCAGGAGAACAGCCCAATACTGACACCACTATATAATTATATTGTTCCAAATGCTGGAACAATAACAATAAACAGTGTTTTCAATTAGCTTCTGAAAATTAATAATGCTGAATAACATCCTAGTTCCCTAGGAATGGAATATTTTGATTTTTAATGGGAGGAACTTTATTAGTTAACGTCTTGTGAATTATTTATGCATTTGTCTTTTTTAAAATATTTTTTTATTAAAGATTTTCCTCATTTAAAAAAGCACAGTCTCTTTCTTCATGTTGTGTTTTCTATAGATCAGTTACATTTGTTTTATATGCAGTATAGGACTAGGAAGAAAATAGGCGGGGAGAGGAGTGTGGGTTTGGGGTGGTCAACCTTATATTCTTTTACTTAGTGTATGCGTGGGGTTTTTATTTCAGTGAATATGGCATGAATAGTTTTTTCTTTTCTGTTCAAAATCCATATTCTACCTGTGGAATCTTGAAAAGACCTAAGACGTTTGCCATGCACCAGGAGGTATCAGAACTAAGTCCCCCAATGACTCCTATGACATTTTTCTGGACGCCACACCTGTAGTTGGGAATAAAGTGACGTGATTTAAAGATCAGGTCCAGGGTGGTTCGGTAGCTCATCTTTGAATCATAATAAATATCATAGATGTGGAATCCCAGAGAGACATTGGGCAACATCCTGGGATTCTCGTTGATCTCATCAACAGCAAAGACCAAAGCAAGGATGTGCTGGTAAAACTTTGTCATCACTCTGCAAATGAATTGAGTTACTGTTTAGTGGGAAAATTACAGAGTGCGCATAATCTAGAAATGAGAGATTCACTTGCCTTTCTGTAAAGAGAGGACACAACCAGAAAGGTTTATAGATTTTTTAAACAATACAGTCATACCTCATGTTACTTTTGCTTCATGATCCGTTTTTTCAGGTTGTGTCCCGTGGCGACCTGGAAGTACCGGAAAGGGTTACTTCCGGGTTTCTCCACTCGCACAAGCGCACAAGTGCCAAATCGCACCATGCACCTGCGCAGATACGGCAGGCTTTTCATGTTGCAAAAGGGCCTCCAGAACGGATCCCGTTCACAACCAGAGGTACCACTGTAGTATACAGCTGTGTCAGAAGAATATACTAAAGTGCCTGTGTGCCTGGAGATTTCTAAAAAACAAAGTTCTAAAGCTTTCATTCTAAATCAATTCAAGTTATTTTAAGTCAGATACAACATTTAAGGAATAAAAAAAATAAAAAAATACTGGTTACTTACATTGGCTTATAAATGAAGGCTTGGGAAGGGTGTATATTGAAGGATAAATTGGGAACGATATAACAGATATGAGATACCATTGCACCAATGACCAGGTCACCTGGCTCATACCACTCGTGTGGAACATGAACAGGATTATTTGTTGCGCATTGAGCGCTTTGTCCTTGGGACACTATATTGGGGAGCAGCAGAAGCAGCAGGAGCAACATCCTGATGGCAAATTCCCTTGTGTGCATGGACTCCCCTGCTTCTCTCTACAGTATTATTCCTCTCCTCCACCTGATCTGAACAAGACAAATTGGGTAGAAGCTGACTCTGTCAATTTGGCACTGTAAGGGGCACGTATTCACCTTATTGTCAACTTAAAGACTGTCACAACAGAAATCCTCAGATGCCAAACAAGATACAGTGATTTGATATGAAAGGGGGAAACTGATAACTGATAGGTAACAAAGCCCAGCCTCTCTCTCCTCCCTTACCATAGCTGCCTTTGAAGCACTGGGGAGCTTATAATCATTTCAGACTTGCCTGTTGATCTTTTTTCCACTCTGACTTCTGGAGCCTTGGCCAGGTGAACTGATTATTGTAATTTTAATAATTACAGGGGAGAATCTCAATTGTGCAGTGCTTTTGGAGTCTATGGCGTATAAGCAGTAGGCAGTGTTTTTTTCTGATGGTACTCAAGGTTATGTAGTACCGGCACCTGTTTTCCTGGGTGAAAAGCACTGATTTAAAATGTGGCACTTAGTGTAACAACTTCATGGTGAGTACTGGCACTGTTTTCCTAGAAGAAAAGCACTGGCAGAAGGGGAACTGCCAATGTAAACATATTTGTCACACTACAGAATCTTAGATAATGAATGAACCTACAGTCCACTCCCTATGAACCCCCTCTTATTGCAACATTAATCCTGTCCCTTGCTTAGGAAATAGCAAGGGAAATAAATCAATATATTTTATGAACACATGTTTGCCTGCGTCTCAGCACCTGCACTCTTAGGGGAATTATTTGGTTGTCTCCCTGGGGTTACAGAATGTTTATAAAATGTTTTCTCTTTCCATCCTGCCCATGTTCAAGATGCACAACAGGAGTCTCCATAAATTCCTTCATGACGATAAAGCAATCAGCTGCAATGGATTAAAATGTAGAAGGGACCTTCAAAGGCCTTGATATCAGATGTACCCATGGTTGAATTTCTGTAGCCCTTTGGAGGAAAGGTAGCTTGGATGACTCTTCAACATATTTGTTTTGTTTTGTTTTGTTTTGTTTTGTTTTGTTTTGTTTTGTTTTGTTTTGTTTTGTTTTGTTTTGTTTTACTCTGACAAAATGAGTATTGTAAATCAGATTCAAGTTTGTTTTTGCGTTAACATAGGAGTGCAAAACTAATGTTTGTTCATCAAGTGCGGTTCAGAGATAGTTTGAAAGGGGTTTTAAGCATAAGGTAAAGGTAAAGGGACCCCTGACCATTAGGTCCAGTCATGGCCGACTCTGGGGTTGTGGCGCTCATCTCGTTTTATTGGCCGAGGGAGCCAGGTCATGTGGCCAGCATGACTAAGCCGCTTTTGGCGAACCAGAGCAGTGCACGGAAACTCCATTTACCTTCCTGCTGGAGCGGTACCTATGCACCTATTGCTTCTGTGACAATGCTGGGGAATTCTATTGCCGGAGCCTTCACTCAAATCTGGATTTACTTGCAAAAAAATGGCTTGGACTCATGTGAACACATGATGCTGCCTTCTACTGCGTCAGAAGCACATTGATCCATCTAGCCCAGAATGATCTACTCTGAGGCCCCATCTGCACAGAGGGGTTTAACACTCAATCCCAGGGAACTCTGGGAATTGTAGCTCTGTGAGGGGAACAAGGGTCTCCTAACAACTCTCAGCTCCTTTAGCAAAAACCCATAGCAGTTTCCCTCAGTATAAACATATCTGCAAGCCATTTCCCCTAATATAATGCATTTTTGTAGGTTATTTTCACTAATATATATATTTTAATGCACATGTTAACCTAGCATGTGCATTGTTGTACACATTACATGGCAGTATTTAGGGTTGCCATATTTCAAAAAAGTAAAATTCCTGAGTTTTTGTTGAGTTTTTTGGGGGAACAAACCAAAATTGCTGGGGAACCCCCCCATAGTGATTTTTAGCTTTTGGAGCTGTTTCCGCTGCTTTTTCCATAACACTTTCCCAGACATTTTCCCAATTCTGCAAAAATCCCCCCCTGACACCATTTTTACACCCGAAAACTAGGACATGTCCAGAATTTTTCTGATGTATGGTGAATCTAACTGCATTGCAAAATTCAGAGAAGTGAGAATTTTGAATGAATGGCTGCATTTTGGTTTGTGAGTTGTGCTGGGAAATGTAAATTAGGTAGGTTTCTCCTCCATTTCTAGAAGTAGCCTATCCTCAATTTGCCAGCACTTCTACTATCACCGAACACCCAATCCACTTCCATCCTCGTGCTTGCCTCCACCCCATCTCATCCATCAAATGTACATCCAATATTTCTGCTTATTAAATCCTGCTCATTGTGTTCTGTCCAGTGCTCATTAAAGGGATTGCATAGTGATGTGTATTTAACATTTCTTTCTCCGTTTTTTCTAATGGCAGCTGTGGGGGAAGAGAAGAATTTCTGCTTTTGTTTGATCTTCTTGCTTAGGTGCTATACCTTCTTACTTAGGCTCCCATGATCTGGAACACAACCACTATTAGATGAAGAAACCCAACCTGACTCTGGGGATTCAGTTCACTCTCTCTGGGTTTTCTGATGTTCTGGAGCTCCAGCTCCTCTTTTTCCTGCTCTTTCTTTTCATCTACATGTTGACTCTTCTCGGAAACATCCTCATATTCCTCACCATCTGGTTCAGCCCTGTGCTCCATTCCCCCATGTACTATTTTCTTGGCGAGCTTTCCATCCTGGATGTGCTTTATTCCAGCACCACCGTGCCCAAGATGCTAACCAGCTTCCTGACTGGTTCCCAAGCCATTTCCTTTGAGGGCTGTGTGGCTCAGCTCTATGCCTTCCACTTCTTTGGAGGCACCGAGTGTTTCCTGCTCACTGTCATGGCATACGACCGCTATGTGGCCATCTGTGACCCTCTCCGCTACTCTGGGATCATGAGCAACGTGTCTTGCATCAGACTGGTGACTGCAACCTGCCTGGTGGGGGCACTTCATTCGACTCTTCAGACTGTGCTCACGTTTCGCCTCCCTTACTGTGGGCCTTACAAACTTGACCACTATTTCTGTGATGTCCCACCCTTACTGAAGGTAGCCTGTGCAGAAACCTCTCTGAATGAGACCGTGGTCACAGTGAACATTGGTGTTGTGGCACTGAGCAGCTTTGCTTTGATCCTTGGTTCTTATATCCGCATTGCCACCACAATTCTCAAGATGCGCTCCGAGGAAGGGAAGAGGAAGGCTTTTTCCACCTGCGCGTCTCACCTCACTGTAGTCCTCCTCCTTTATGGCCCTTGCATATTCATTTACATGCAGCCATCCACCAACCACTCTGCCCTGAACATTGTGGCCCTCTTTTACACATCTGTGACACCTGCCCTGAACCCCATCATCTACACCTTGAGAAATGAAGAAATCAAGAAGATGGTGAAGAAACTGGCATTCAAGAAGGTGTTTTCTTGAAGGACAGCAATGCAGCTTCTGTAGACAGAAGCACCATGAGCTGGGATGAATTGTACCTCTATGAGTTGTAGCCACTGCTAATCTTGCTCAGAGTAGAACCTCTGAATGCCAGTTGCTGGGAATCACAAGTGGGGAGAGTTGCTGTTGCGCATAGATCTTCCTGTGGGTTATTGGTTTGCCATTGTGAGAACAGGATGTTGGGCTAGCTGGGCCTTGGGCGTGATCCAGTAGTGGTCTTCTGATGTTATGTTCTTAACGGACATGTCTATATTTGCTCCAATATTTTCAATGGGTCTATTCTGAGCATAACTTTGTTAGATACAATCCTATGTCTATATGTGGGGGATAGTCGTGCCATGAATACTACTCATATTGATCCAGAGGAGAACTCCAACGTATAGTTAGCAGAGTAAAAACTTAGCTGCAGGATTCCCCAAAAATAGACCAGAGGCAATTAATATTTCATTCAGCAGAGCTTTATGGCTACTGAAGGCAAATGGTCACAAATCCAATACAGTGGTACCTCGGGTTACATACACTTCAGGTTACATACGCGTCAGGTTACAGACTCCACTAACTAGAAATAGTACCTCGGGTTAAGAACTTTGCTTCGTGATGATTTCAGAAATCGTACAGCAGTGGCACAGTGGCAGCAGGAGACCCCATTAGCTAAAGTGGTGCTTCAGGTTAAGAACAGTTTCAGGTTAAGAACAGACCTCCAGAACGAATTAAGTTCTTAACCCGAGGTACCACTGTACATTCAGGATTGGCACTGTCCGTAAGAAATCCAGTTGCAGCAGACTTAACTTAAACTTACAGTAACTTATAATAAGACTGAAACCTTAACACTAAGAAAGCAT